TGCAATTTTAAGTGTGCAATTTCAAAACAGCATCATTATGCTTTTTTGTTATGAATAACTGTTTAGTGTCTGTGACCACGGTAATATGAGAGATTGTGTATTAGATAGAAAATTTTAAAACACTGAGTTCAAGGAAGAGAGTGGGGAAAGGGAGCCACTGTGACTAAAAGGGCCCATGCCAGGAAATACATTGGAACACATAGGGTATTTCACAGATGGCCTTTGTCCATTTTCTCACCAAACACTGTAACAGTGAACTGGAAGCTAACAAGAAAAGTGTCAGTCGACTAATGATGGCAGTGGTGGCATCAGTCATCAAATTCATGGTATAGCTGTTGAATTGATTGTGAGCCAAGAATTTTTTTTCTATATGTCTGAGCAGACACTTGATCAAATTTTCTCCTGTGAAATCTGAAGCCCAGGGACCTTATACATTTTAAGATTAAGTTACTCTTATGTGTGGAAGTTTAGAGGACAGCTTAGTGATGGCAGCTGGCTCTCACTGGACAAAGAAGATAGTGTGGGAGCCCACAGTATGTCTTTAAAACACATTATTTTCCCCTTAAAACATGATTTCAGATCTGTCTTATGAAACAAATGGTGGGTGTTCTCCCAGTCATGTCTCGGCACCATATGATGTGTAGTTCGCATACATGGAACCCTGTGAGATCACAAGTACAACTGCGCAGGAAGTAAGGGAAGGAGGGTGCCCATGATGGACCACTAACACCAAAGGCAGAGGAAAAGCAGTAGTCTTCCTTCCAATGATGGAAGAAACATTGTTAAATTATGTAACAACCACGAAGTCCTCCTATGGAATTATATCCACCTCTTATAGTCAAGTTGGCTGGCTCTTCTGTTTACAGGTTGTCTGTGATTTGTCTGGATAGATAGAACACCATGATGGAATGAATACCAAGGGAATCAGGAGCATAAATCTCCAGACGCCTTAAAGCTTGGGGCTTCCACCTTTTGGAAAGCTTCCCCGAGACACAATCTGGCTAGTTGGTTTACAGAAAGACCTTGTAAGAATGAGAGAATGAGAGAAGCCCAGTTATTCTCACTGCACCAACCGAGGCAAACCTCGGCTGACAACTAAGCTGAACAAGACCCAGGAGGGAAGCTATGACTCACTTATAGCTTTATAGTTGATCACCTTAGGGAATTACACAATGGGATCAAGGACCACTGGTGTAGTGACTCTAGTTTATAATTTCTTTCTTTTTTTTTTTTTTTGGCTTTTTGAGACAGAGTTTCTCTATGGTTTTTTAAGTTCTTAAAAATTGTGTGTTCAGGAATATTGCCTGCATGAATTTCTGTGCTCTGTGTGCACACCCCATGCCTACGGAGGCCAGAAGAGAACAACAGGATCATCATGGACCTGGAGTTACAGGTGGTTGTGAGTCACCAAGTAGGTGCTGAGAATCAAACCTGGATCCTTCACAAGAGCAGCCAACGTTCTTAACCACTGAACCATCTTTCCAATCTTTCTATTATTATCATGTTTTATTACAAGAAAAAATAAGGTCAGATTTGAAATTGACCAAGAGATACGAGGACATGTTTTTCTATTTCAAAAATTTATAGGATTAACTGGAATTCAAACATGATTTTTCATTCTCAACATTGAAAGATTTTTCCTTTGCTTTTAATTTGAGAACTCACTCTTCAAGGCATATGAAAATATCACGAAACTAAATTTAAATATTATTCTAATATGGCTTAACACTGAATTAGAAATTTGAGAGTTGAGGGTTAAATAGCATTTAGATTATTCCCTCAACCGAGGAAACTAATAGCATTTGTAAAAATAGGATTAGGGATTTTTTTCCCCCTTAAACTTCTCAGCAAAGCAAAAGAAATATCTACAATCAAATTATCCCCAAAGCCTTAATTAAAGTCAGATCCTTAAGGAGAGTTCAAATTCCTTGGGTTTATGCTAAACCACACAGAGAAGCACACAAACAAATATTTCTCAGTTCATTTTCAAATACTTCATACTAACATCCTTTTATTCTTATGAGCCCACATGTTCATGGCCTAACATTAAATAAACATGTCTCTACACACCAGCATGAGATCATTTCCATAAAGAATACTGCTTGTTAGGCATTCTTTCCTATATGTCCTCTTATCGAAATTCTGGCAAGCATTCCATGAGACTTAATTAATTTGAAATATCCAACCTTTCCATTATGAAGTTTTTTCCCAAGGTGTCACTAGCGAATCTGGGGCAAAATACATTTGTACATAAGTTCAAATATAATGGTAAAAGCTGACTGGAAATCCTGTATTTGCAGCAGAAGTTATATTCGGGTTGCCATAGCAGCCACCCACGTTCTCTCTCACACACAAAGGGGTGGTGAGGAAAAGAGAAGAAAGCAGTTAGCAGAGAACAGAATCTATTGTTGCAAAGACAGAGGTACCCGTCAATGTAATTACAAGCAGGGATCCTAATTCTTAGTCTGAACAGCATTTAATGATAGAAGATTCCTTAGCACCGGGCTACTCTCTAATCTCATCACCGTCGGCGCCCCCAGCTTTAAACTGTACTGGATGGTGAAATAATGTAGGAAGAAGAGAGCTGTTGGCTAACCATGAACACATGAGCTATCAAAATGTAAAGTTCCCCTATCTAAGGCATCTTGAAGACCATTATCACCAAAAAAAATTTATGGGTCAATAGATTTGAACAAAGGACATCACTTTCTCAGTATCTCTGACTATAAAAGGGTAGAATGAGTACATACAGCTACAAAGTGTTACGCACATTTTTAAAAATTATTGCACTTAGTAGATTATTAAATATAAATAATTATTAATAGATGTTGATATGTATTATCATTAAAAATTAGTTTAGTAATACGTGAGTAAAGGTGCAGCCTGAACCACAGGAAGTGCCCGAGAGATGTTTGCTACGGTCATTATAATTAATTATTATTAGCACATTACTTTTTATGGCTAGAACAGTGCAGTGTACAAAGCCTTTCCAGAAGAAAGGCTTGCAGGTGTTCAGCAGAAGAGAGCTAAGATAAAACGTGAAGATTCTTTTAGAACATAAGAGGCTGATGCGCTGTCCCATAGCCATGTATTTGAAGGACTATTTAGGATACTAAAAGGCTAAGCATTTTATTCTAGTTGCACGTTCATCACCGGGGACAAAGGCTGGTTACACAGCGAAATCTAACTTCTATTAGTGCTAAAAGAGGGTACCATATCTGGCTTCAGAAAGCCCTATGCAATTTCCCTTCCATCGTTTGTTTGATCACATATTCATGTGCAGATATATTTAGAGTCTCTACACAAATATAAAAATTCAGCATCAGATTTAGCTGAAGGCATAGATGAGAGATTGCCTTATGCCTTCTGATTCACTCATTTCAAACCTTCCCCGTGTGACTGAGTACTGCATATCCTAGCGGGAGGAGCCTGTAGTCTCGCAACGGGGTGAATAGGAAAGAATATGTGTGTTCACACATTCCGTTCAGTGGCAAGAGGTACCTTTCCTGCATAGGAGAATGCAAAGCTGATCGACTAAGGAAATTGAAGAATTCGAGGAACATCCAGATTTGGGGGGACAGAGTGAAAAGGCAAGAAGGAAATCCTGACGAACATTTCACAGCAATCAGCAGGAAGTGGCGGCAAAACAATAGGATAAGCTTCACTTCCGGGCAGTGAGGGGTACAATTATCACGGCTTATAAGCTTTCGAAAGTCCCAGTCCAGACACGTAAGAAGCTAAAGTGAACTGATTGCCAAAAGTTTGTAGCCAGCTTAGGCTGCATAGTCGATTCTAGACCCATCGGGAAACAAGCAGCAATCCTACCTTTAAAAACTGAGCATCAACAACAGCAAACTCCTTCAAGTCTGTTCTTTGTGACCTCTAGATTTCCCTTGCACTGGAAATGCTATGAACATTGGTACTACTTAGTAATCTTTATTTCCAGTCTTAGAGAGACGTATATTACTACCTAACACTCGAGACTCTCTCTGCTTTCAGGGGTAGCCTGATGTGATTGCATTAGAAACACTCCCACCGTCAAAGAGCTTCTGGAGTATAAAAATAATCCCGAGTTTTCCCGAGTTACTAGAAATAATTGAATATGGTTTCAGACTGGGCCGGATTTTTATTTTTTATTATTTTACAAACCTTTTTCTTGATAAGGTGAAACCAGAAAGGAATAGATTTGGGAGCCACTGAGAAGAAGAGGCTCCGAAGATATGTATGTCCTTTGTGTTTCTCGCCACGTTTTATGGTCCAGCCCACAGAAAACAAGTTTGGAGTTCAAGCCCACAACTCCAACCTCCTGGTGAAGCTGAGAAAGCTGATGGCTTGCACGCTGGGGGCAAGCTCTCCTTGCCAAGGCTGCCCTTTTCTCCTTCCCTGCGCTCAGTAACCCAAATCAGCTGTGGCTGCTCATCCCCACTCCAAGGTCTTAGGATGCCTCTACTCAGAGCCTGGCTCCTCTCACCAAAACGATGGCAAATACTGAAGAATAAAAGGACAACGTAATTTCTAAAGATATTTTGGTTAGTTCGGTGAGGAAAGATCAGAATACCGATTGAGACTTTATGAGGATGTAATTACCAGTAACAGAAGAGCTTTCTAAAATAAGAGTCCCTTCTTTCCCAGGGCCAGGCAGTCAGAGAGCTTGAGTAGGCAGCCAGGAGCCCAGACAGTTCTCTAAATTATGCTATTAGAACTTAGTGGGGAATGCTACAGAACAAATTTGTTTCCGTTAAGTCTTATTAAGTATAAAGGCGAATATATTTACAAACAGAAATTCTAATCGCAACATTTTTTAATGTAATCAGCTACCCACACATGACCTCAAGAGAACCAGCTGCATTAAGATTGTTCACAGTACAACCAGCAATCGTTAAGAATAGATTGAATATCAGCTTTCTCTAGTCAACCCTCATTACAGCGCAGGAAAGAATTTCATACTTGGAAAAGGGAAAAGACATCCCAAGCAATAGGCATTGTTGATCATTCCTTACCGTCAGATACATGGCAGCATAGACGCTGAGGGCAGCTTCTTTGGATGGGAAGGTTTTCCTTGCTCGCATGATGAGATCTGGGTTGCCTGTGCACGCTTCCTCCCCACTAATGAACTGTGTGTACTGTTGACACCCGAGAGCTGTGTAATTGGGCTTACACAAGGCCAGAAAGTGTGGAGCCAGGTTGCCTGTGACCACTTGCCCAGCATTTACAAAGATATCTGTAGCAAACAGTCCAAACGTATAAATTCCTGGAGAAGAAAGAAAACAAACAGTGTTAGCTTTCTTCTTTAATTAAAAAGTATTCTATAACAATTCAATATAAAAATATTTTAGTAACTATAACACATTCCATACATGCACATAATCAGTTCTTTTCATTTTACATATTCCCTAGTTTCTTCCTTGACTAAGTTAGGGTTTTAAATTATTTAACATATTGAGCTTTCTTTCACTGGCTACATTTTCATGCATAGTATGTTTGTGAGACATAAGATAAAAGAAGAAATTAAGTTCTGAGATTTGGGTGATGTAGGTTTTGAAACAAAGAGATAGACCCCTAAGAGGGTGCAGTGGATCTTGTTCTACTGATGTTAGCAATCTCTATTTTTTTTCCTTTTTTGAATCTTTTATCACACTAAAGCACACATAAAGCAAAGTTTTGTTTATAGCAAATCTTGTCATCAACAAAATGATATGCAAAAAACGTAACCTTCAAAGATATGGTTATGATGGGAAGAAATGCACTGGTTTCTAATTTGAGGTAGTAAAATTCACTAGAATTTTCATTTTATTTTGATTATTTTCAAGGCTTATTTATTTTATATGGCATGTATGTGTTCATCCGAGTGTATATTTGTGTACCACATTTGTGCAGGTTTCCATGGAGATCAGAAGAGAGCATTTCAGATCTCCTAGAGCTGGACTTATGGGTGGTTGAGAGCTACTGGGTGTGGGCATTGGGAATAAAACCCAAGTCATGGTAGAAGCAGAATATACTTTTAACTTCTGAGCCATTTCTCCATCTCCAAGGATTTTTAAACTTACAGCAAAATAATATTTCCCAAAGAATTGGCCTATTGAAAAACCATATTGATTTTATTTACATAAATAAATGTTTTTTTTTCCTTCTTAGTTGTACATTTTTGGAACTGTTTGTTTTTCTGAGCCTTCCATCACGACTCGCTGTTGTATTGGGAAGTCATCATGAAAGTTGCAAAGGATTAAATAATTTTTCAGTATTGGATCCATGGATTTTTTTTATCTTCAAAATATTATGTAAGATTTTTTTATGCACAAAAATATACACATAACAAAACTCTGAGTATCTAAATGTCAAGGTGATAGAAACATTGATTTTTCTATTTTAAGTTTCAAAAGAAAACAGCACGAATTCCTTTCCTGATTCTTAGCAGTTGCCATGAATCACACCAAGGAAAGGCTGTGAAAGGCAGAAACTCGGGAGAGGCAGAGAAGGTACCAAACTGAGGCCAATAAGATGCTAGCATACATAAGCTGTCCTTCAACAACCTCAAAGCTAAGCCCTGGCATCCACATCTGTACTCCTTTGAAATGTAGGCTAAGCTGTACTCATTTCTTAACTAAACTGCTCTTTTTATCTAGTGTTAATAGGTCCCTTGTTTAAAATAGAAATATTTGGGAAGAATATAGAAATGTCTCTTGATACTTGAAAAGTTCCCGAATATGTCTTAAAACCAAAATGTCAGTGTCTCAGGTCCAAAGCTGGTATTGCTGTTGATGGCACAGATCATTTTCGAAGTGGGATCTCATAGGCACAACCACCCTTTTGACAGAAAGCACAGAGTACCTATGCAAAGTGCAATCTCTTTATGCAGTGTGGCTTTAGTGACAGGCTTTCATTTTCTTACTACAGATTTGAAACTTCAGGTCACCATGGGAACGAAGTGAAAGAAAATGTATATAATCAGTAAGAAACATGTCGAGTAGTGGGCACGCTTTACATTGTGGTACATGTTCTTCACAAATGCAGGCCAATGCAGAGAATGTTTTCTTCAAGAACACAACCAACTGGGTTCAATAGTTCTTAGGAAAGTATTGATTTCAAGTACTTTTAGTTTTGCAGATGCCACAGATGCCATTGATCATTACTTATTTTATTATTAAATGGATCACTTTCAAAGAGAAATGTGTCAAGAGCATATTACTTATACAAAGAAAAAATTTTAAAGTATATATATGTATATACCTTAAATCTGAATATTTTATATCATTTTACATAATATTTATCTATTATAAAGTATTTATATATTTTATATAATATTCCTTCAAAAGATACCTGGGGGCTTTGGAGATACCTAATTTGATGCTAGTGAAAAGTTCAGTTTTCCAAATAAAGACCCTTAGCCTTCAGAGCTGCCTATAGCCCTGATTCTTCTATGTCTCATCGCTCGTGTAGCAGCTACAGAACAGTGTGCTGTTTTCTGCCTCCAAAGCTTTCATCTTGAGCCCCATAACATGAGACACACACTGAAAAGTTGCAGGCTCCTTGGTGAATTTCTCAGTGTTCATCAAAATTCATCTTGCATGCTTTTTAATACACACAGTTGTGGTCATTTTAATCTAACCACACCAGGAAGTGATAATTTACAGTAAACATGGTTGTCCAATAAAACTGGTCTTCTCCACATTTCTATTGAATTACAAGGATGCTTAGTAATTTGCCATTTTGTTAAGTGAACGCTAAAGTATCAGTGTCTCTTGTTTTCTAACAGAAATGTCACTATAACTCAGTTTCCATGAAAACCAGCTCAGGACTAGTGCACGGAGAACAGCATATTAAATATGATATTCCTCCTTGTGCCACATCACCACTCAGGATAATATCACTCATTTTGCCTTCATTCTGAAACTTTATACACACACCAAGTCATTTAGTTTAATTGCATGCATGCTATTTTCTAAAAAAAAAATAATATTCAGGGGTTACAGTCTTTCCTTCTTAATGTGGAAATTACATCCTGGGTCATCTTAAAAGTTGTCTTATATACGATTATTATTATATTAAAGTAAGTCAGTGGATACATACCAAGAAATCGGACAGTTCGGCGTACCAGTGGGTTTATATAGCAACAGTCTCCAGTTAAGATAGTTTTTTCCTGGTTTTCAAAATCCCTTGTTGCTAACTGTAGGCAAAACACGGCAGTTTCTCCAACTATTATCTTGCAAAGAAATAGAAGATTAAAGGGTGTTAGAGCTTCACTAGTGTGAAGGTTATTTTCATTTAAAAGGTAGTAACTATCTCAATATAAAACTGAAGCACAATCGCTAAGTGGACCCTTCAATTTTCATTTTGTCAGCACACATAAATCACATTTGTCTCAATTTTAGGAAATATTATAATGACAGATTTTTTAAAAACAAAAATAAACTATAATACCTGATATATTAAAAAATTCTTAAGGAAATTATTCTGGTGTGAAATTTTCACTTTTGAAAAAGTGACTCTTCTCTAAAATTCAAAATATTTTCTATAATCAATGCATAAATATTGTATATATGCATGTATGTATTAATGAAAATGATACAGTGAACCCATTAATTTGTGCTGTTAGTTTTCATGAAGAGTTACAAAGTAAAAGATGATGATAAAATCAATTTTCTGCAAACATTTTGCAAAGACCTTGTATAAACATGTTGATTTGAAAACATCAATATAATACCTTTATAAGAAAAAACAATTTGTGGATGTTTAGCCTTGTGATGATTCTATTCTGAGACATTTTAACAATTAGTCTATTATTTACACCTTACTAAAGTGTGTTACTTTAATCTTCATCAGACATATGAATGGAAATATGACCACGACCATACCTTTTTACAAGTGAAGAAGCTGAGTGTTTGTTCGGGACCTAGTGATAAGAACTAGGCTTTGGCCTGGCTTCCTTGTTCCTGCTTACCAAAACCTGGCTATGTTCTATTCATCATTGTTCAGTTGTGGTAGTTTCTACACATTTCCCCACTGAATTAGAGCAAGCTTTCCTTCATTTTACAGATAAGGACATAGAAACTTAGGGAAGTCAAATATTTAGTTCTCTCTCAGACTAATAAGAAGTCAAGCAGAAATTTTTGACTTAACCAGAGACCTCAGATTCCATTTAACATTATGGACACAGGATAAAACATAACATGAATGAAGAAGTTTCAACCGGATGACTCAGTAGGTAAAGTATAATGCAAATGTGGTTACCCAAGTTGGATCCCAGAACCCATGTAAAGAAGTAAAGAAAGAAGTGACTCTCCAAAGTTATCCACTGACTTCCACAGGCACACCAAGGCATGGGAACCCACCCAATATTAAGAAATTGAAATAAATTTTAAATTAAAATTAAGCAAAAAAAAAATCTGGAGCCAATCATTTGCATGTTAATTTGTCCCTATTAGTTTTGGTTTTAATCTAGCTTGTTAAGGTTAATTAAGCTGGTCTATGGAGAGAACAGGTGCAAGCCATGTCAGTTTGAAGAACAGGTACACGCTATGCCAGCCAGGAAAACAGACTTCTTGTGCCAGAAGAACAGATAGGAGAACTTGAACAGAGACTCGCTGCTGGACCAGAGAACACATAGCAGCCACAACTCCAAATAGGCGGCCACCAGGAAATCTCCTTCACTCTCTAGGTGCCTCCCCACATTATCCCCAATATTTATTCTCCTTCTCATCATTATGCCCCACCCCCAACTTCGGTGGATACACTCTTCTAGATCATCCACAGTGATCAAATAGAATTCATCTGGAGATGCAGGGATGGTTCAACATACAAAAATCTATCAATGTAATCTACTTTATAAATAAACTGAAATAAAAAATATACATGATCATCTCATTAATACTGAAAAGCCTTTGGCAAAATATAACACCCACTTCATGATAAAAATTATTGGGTATATAATATAAGGTATATACCTAAGCATAATAAAGGCAATTTGCAATAATCTTATAGCAAGTATCAAATTAAATGGAAAAAAAAACCTCAAAGCAATTCAGTTAAAATCAGGAACAAGACAAGGCTGTCCATTCTTTCCATATCTGTTCAATACAGTATTTGAAGTTCTAGCTAGAGTAATAAGACAAGAACAGGGGGATAGGGGATACAAATTGGAAAGAAAGAAGTCAAAGTATCACTATTTGTAGACAATATTATGGCATATATAAGCGATCTCAAATATTCTACCAGGGAACTCCTACCATTGATAAACACCTTCAGGAAAGTTGTTGGATACATGATTAAAAAGAAAGAAAGGAAGAAAGAAAGAAAGACACAATTAGTAGCCATCCTCTATACAAATGACAAACTAGCAAATAGACTGAGAAAGGAATCAGAGAAACAACACCCTTCACAATATCCACAAATAATATGAAATATCTTGGGGTTACTCTAATCAAGCAGTGAAAGACCTGGATGACAATAACTTCAAGCCTTTGAAGAAAGAAATTGAGGAAGATATCAAAAGATAGAAATATCTTCTGCACTCATGGATCAGAGTGCAGAATAAAATGGCCATCTTATCAAAAGCTATCTACAGATTCAAAGCAATCCCCATCAATATTCCAGCACAATTCTTACAGATCTTGAAAGAACAATATTCAACTTTATGTGAAATAAAAACAAAAGACAAGGTAGCAAAAAACAACCCTAGACAAAGTAAGAACTTCCAGAGGTATCACTCCCCTAATTTCAAGCTATATTACAAAACTACAGTACTAAAAACAACATGGTATTGGAAATAAAAGCAGACAGATTGTTCAATGGAATCAAATCAAAGTCCCAGAAATGAATCCACATACCTATTGAACACTTGATTTTTGATAAATAAGCCATAGATATGGGGAAAATCACCTTTGTTAAATGGTGCTAGACTAACTGGATGTTGTCATGTAAAAGAATGCAAATAGATCCATATCTATCACTCTACACAAAACTCAAGTCCAGATGGATCAAAGACCTCAACATAAAACCTGATACACCAAACCTGACAGAGAAGAATGTGGATAACAGCCTTGAACACACTAGCAAGAGGGGACAACTTCCTGAACAGAAAACCAATAGCACAGGTACCAAGATCAACAATCAATAAATGGGACTTCATGAAACTGAAAAGTTTCTGTAAGGCAAAGGACACTGTCAAGAGGACAAAAGGTTGGACCACAGAATGAAAGAAGATTCTCGCCAACTCCACATCTGATAGAGGGTTAATATCCAAAGTATATAAAGAAACTAGTCATAAGCCAAATAATCCAATTAAATAGTGGGGTACAGATTCAACCAGATAATTCTAAATGGAAGAATCTCAAATAACAATAACAACAACAAAAAAAACCTTAAGGAAATGTTCCAACATCCTTAGCCATCTGGGAAATGCAAATAAAAATGATTTTGAGATTCCATCTTACACCTGTCAAAATGGCTAAGGTAAAAATTGCAAATTTGTGCAGCAAGGAAAGCACTACTCCATTGCTGGTGGAAGTGCAAAACTTGTACAGTCACTATGGAAATCAATATGGTAATTTCTCAGAAAATTGGGAATCAATCTACCTCAAGATCCAGCTATCCCATCCCTGGGTATGATACTCCATCTTACCACAAGGACATGTGCTCAACTATGTTCATTGTAGCTTTATTTGTAATAACTAGAAAGTGAAAACAACCTAGATGTACCTGAACCAAAGAATGGATAAAGAAAATGTGGTACATTTTACACAATTTAGTGTTACTTAGCTGCTAAAATAATGACATCTTGAAATTTGTAGGCAAATGGATGGAACTAAATGAGCAATCATCCTAAGTTAGGTAACCCAGGTACAGAAAGGCAAGCATGGTAAGTACTCACTTATAAGTGGATATTGTCTGTAATAGATAATCATACTATAATCCTTAGATTCAAAGAGGCTAAGTAGCAGTGAGGGCTCAAGGGAAGAATGCATGACTCACCCTGGGAAGGAGAAATAGAATAGATTTTGTGGTCTAACTGGAGGCAGGTTGCAGTGAGAGCAAGAGGGATCAGAAGTGCGGGAAGGGACTACTAAGAGAGACTGGGACTGAGAGAACATTTCAGTGGTGAGGTAGAAACCTAGTGGAATGGAAACTCCCAGGAATCTACCAGGTTGACCCTAGCAAAGACTTCCAGAAATGGCAGATATAGAGCCTGAACAAACCATCTTCCCCAACTTGGGAAACCAAGACTCCCAATGGAGGGACTCAGACACCAACTCAGCCATAAAACCTTCGGTCTATAATTTATTGCCTGCAAGGTGTGCTGGGGTAAAGGTAGTGCAGAACTTGTGTGAGTGGCCAACCAACGATCAGTGCAGCTGGAGACCATGAGAGGGAGCCCACACTTGGCAACCAAAGATTGGATGGCTCAGAGACCTGGGACAGAGTCAAATTGACTGGGAAAAAAAGCAATCAATGAAATGACCCCTAATGATACTCTGCTATACTAGTAGATCAGAGCCTAAAATAGTAGACTAGCAGATTAATTTCTGCAGAAGGGAAGGAAGGATTGTAGGAGCCAGAGGGGTCAAGAACACCACAAAAACATGACTAACAGAATCAATTAATCTGTACTCATAGGGACTCACAGAGAGTTAAGCAACAGCCAGGGAGCCTGCATGGGACTGACCTAGGCCCTCGGCATATATGTTTCAGTTGTGCAGTTTGGTGTTCTTGTGGGACTCCTAACAGTGAGAGTAGGGGATGTCTATGGCTATTTTGCCTGCTTTTGAGACCCTTTTCCTCCTATTGAGTTGCCTCACCCAGCATTGGTATAAGGATTTGGGCCTAGTCTTATTGCAACTTGTTATGTCATGTTTGGTCTATATGCCTAGGAGGGGAAAACCGTGTTTGGGAAGCAATATATGAGAGAAGTGAGAGAGAGAGAGAGAGAGAGAGAGAGAGAGAGAGAGAGAGAGAGAGAGAGAGAGAACAAAACAAAATGTTCCTCTAAGGAGTCCCTGGCATTCCCTATGTACTATAGTTTGCTTATGTCCCCCTGAATTCATACATTGGAAACTCATTCCCACAAGAACTGTGTGCCCCCCGTTTGGTTATCAGACAAATGACAGAACTCTTCCAAATAAACCCAACTTTCCCCAGCCACTGAAAGGGACTTGACTCCAGTAAAGAGATTGTGCAGAGTCCTGAGAAGTTGATGGGTAAGACCAC